GCATTTCAAAGAGCATTTTATGTCTCTTGTTGCTTGGAAAACATTTTAGTCATTTAAATGTAGCACATTTGCCACTTCAGACGATATAATAACTTCAGTAATGCGTAAGCTTTTAGATATTTCTGCATATGTATTTTTGTATATGCATACAGACAAACACACACAAACAGGGAAGAAAAATTGTATCTATCTAGGCTATGTACTCTAATGAATGTATTCTAAAGTGTAGGCAGGGAGGTGATGGGACATGTGTAACCTTTAAAGCTTTCAGGGTAGTATAATGCACCTAGGGCAGGAGAGCTGGTTTTACTGAAACTGCAGAGTATAGACAGCTACCTGTGAGGCTCAGAACTTAACTCCTCAGATAACTTTTAAAGTGAAAATTGAAAAAAGTTAATTCAAGGTAGTAGGAGATGAGGTGGTGCATGTTTATGAAGCTCCTCAGCACTTTTTTGCTGTCATTTTGATTAAAGAAGAAAAAATAAATGCTGTAATACTGATATATGAAAATAAATGTCTATAGTTTGGTTTTTAACAAATAGGTAATATGTAGTGTTTAATGCCTGCTAACATTTGCTTTAACTCTACCACTGTCAGTATTCGAGGCTTATACTGGCATCAGTTTTTAAATGACTGCTTTAAAATTGAAGTAGTACATTCCACAAATGTGCAAACTCTTTCACTATTTCCTGAACTTAGTCGGGCTAGGTTGGTACTTCTGACACAACAGTTCCCAACTGTTCCACCCAAGTCCTCTCCCAGGAGCCGTACTTTGTGTTTACTCCGTCATCGAGCAACTGGAAAGTAAATGGCATATACCCAGCATGGGGCTGTGGTCGCCACATGATGGATTTGGGCTCAGTCAGGTATAAACATGTGATTGGGTATGCACCTGTGACTTGACTGAAAACCTAGTCTTCTTAAAGATGTACCTATATCCAGTTGTGTTGCAGGGTTACATGTTTATGGAATTGTGTGCTGGAGGTCGCGCATAGCCAGTTGTATGATGGTTGTCACTCCAAGGAGAGGTAATGACAAGAATAGGAAATGGCCTGCTTAGCCTGCCACGTGTGCCCATGCGGTTCCTTGCGTTGAGGAGTATTGTGTGGACACTTGCTGAGGTTGGCCCCGTCTGTTAGGTTGGCTGCCCTTCCTCTGAAGGTTCTTCCTGAGATACATACTGAAGTTGCAGAGGAGTGTGTTGGATGTGTGCCTTTTCATTGGGGGAGTTAGAAGGAAAGAAATAGAGAAATTGCAGTGGATGAATGTAGTAGCGGGGATTCCCTGCATGGTAATAGACTCTGTGAATTCTGAATGGCTAATGGCATAAAATTACAAGTTTCTGCTGAGTCTTTGTACAATGTTGGAGATTTGACCTTGCAAGGTAGTGTCTGAAATATATGTTCTGGATATAATAGATAAGAGTTTATGTAGTGAGGTCAGTGGACTGAAGGATGACTTGGATTTTGTAAACCTGTTTGTAAGGATTTATGGAACGTGCTAGAAATAAGCTTGAAGTTGTCATGTACAGGCTAGAAATAAGCTTTAATTTTTCATGTACAGCCTTAATTATCTTTGACATGCATATACATTCTGATGTATTCAGTTGCCTTCTAACATATTTTTTTTTATAAGTATCTTTCTCATTTGGCATACAGAATGAACAGTGCTTATTTAACAAGCAGATATACACACACAGATTATTGTTATAATTTTAAAGCTTATTGGTGAGTATAATTTTAAAGCTTATTTACTTTACTAGCTCCATCCAGAATAGACTGCTTAGGCCTGTTGGTCATCAGTGCAATGGCTGAATGGTTGACAAAGCACTAGTGAAGAGTCTTGAAAGAGAAGAATACATTGGTATCCCCTTTTACAAATGAAAGTTGTGAGGCAGGTTGGTACAAGATTCCTCATACTTTATATAAGAATATATTCAAAGCTCAGCTTTCACTGACTAGTGGAGGCAGGTGCCGGGAATGTCAGTAAGTCTCACAATACCGTTTCAAGTTAAGCACACATAAAACGAAGAATATACTGATGTCACTTCTCTGGGAATAATCTGGCTGGTGTCATGCAGAAAATTGGTAGCAGGTAAAGGAGTGGTATACCAACTTGGCTTCCAAGTGTCACGTCCTTCCAGCTCAAGACTGGTCCATTACAATGAGCGAGAAATCAAGGGAAGATGGCAGTAGGACTGCATGAATTAGCAAGGACCCTCTGACAAAACTCAAGTGTAAAAAGGGAACATACAAGAGGTGAAAGCGGAAACAGGTGGCTGGAGTGGAGTATAGAAGGATGTGGTTAGCTAGCAAAGCCAGAGCCTGCCTGGGGTTTAATCTGGTGAGGGACTTGTAGCAGCCTTTCTTGTTCTCCTTCAGATGTAACAGCAGGAGGAAGAAGATGACTATGGGAAATGTCAGCCTGCCTGCTGAATGGGGCAGGGAACCTGGAGGCAGAGGGCACAGAGGAGGATGCAGTACACAGTGCCGTCTCCACTTTGGTATCTAGTGATCAGATCAGCCTTCAGGAACCACAGGTTCCTGGTACCAATTGGAAAGTCCAAAGCAAGAAAGACTTAGCTCAGAGGAGGAACAGGACCAGGTTAGGGAACACTTAAACAAACTGGGACTACCTGAGTCCATGGGATCTGATCAGATGTATTCATGAGTGCAGAGGGAGCTGGCAGGTCTCACTGTTAGGCCACTCTTACCTTTGTAAGGTCATGAATTTGGAAGGTGCAGTGAGCTGTTCCTGAGGACTGGAAGAATACAACTGATCTCACTGGAGGGTAGCTTACATCAGTTTTCTGTGTTTACTTAGTTTTAATTGTGACAATTTTCTATGAGTATTTCTCAGAACAGGTGATTTGTGCAAATAAATAGAATTAGTCATTTTGATTTCAGATAGCTATACTAGACACAGGCTCTTTGTGTTTAATGTCATTGTTCGAACATCCTCTTGGTGAACTGTTTTTCTGCCATTGAGATTAGTGGTTAAATTTTCACTAATTTTTTATAAGAAGTTGACGTGTTTATGTGTTCTTTTGCAAACTCTGAATTGTTACACTACTGCAGGGGTGTGTGTGTAACACTAGTTTAAAAGAAGCACAAACGGGAAAGTGTATTATGTGTATGTTGGGCAGATGTGGTGCAGCAAAATAGATTTAGTATGGAATGAATTGTATAAAGGTTGTAGTAAATGTCCCTTTAAATATTTTAATTGCCTTTAAATTTGGCAGTGACCAATATTAAATTTTACATACAAAACTCGAGACTGTTGAATGATCTGTATCAAATATAGAAATCTTCTGAGTTTTTAATGCTTATTTAAAAGATAACTATAATTTTCATTACATGTTGCCTAGAATTACTGGTATTACTGGTATATTCTTGCACTTCTTGCCTTTTTCTTATGTTAGTGTTAATATATTTCTCTTGGTGTCTTGTTTTTTAAATATTTATTTACCTCGCTACTGGAAGTAATTTGTGTAATTTTGCAGATTTTTAAACTCAAGATCACTCAGCTGGGAGAGATGGATGAGACTGACCTTTTTTGGGTTTGGGGTTTTTTTCTTCTCTCCCTCCTTTTTTTTTTTTTTTTCTTTCCTGTGCTCACTTTTGAGTTCAAATGCATTGACAGACTGTAGTTCATTTCATATTGTCATGAAGCAGCACAAGATATTTAAGTGTACTCATGAATTCAGTTATTCATTATCATAGCTTTACAAAGTATCTTGACTATATACCTTTTTGTTTTTTTTAAATTATTATTACTTGTGATAAATGCAAATGCATTGAGTTTACATTCACAATAGATCTCTCTTTGTCATGAAGTGACTTGAATCTTGTGTATGTGTGTATATAAATCCATTTATATGGAAAACCGTGCTGTATTTTTACAGGCTATGAGAAGACAGATGATGTTTCAGAGAAAACTTCTCTAGCTGATCAGGAGGAACTGAGAACTATATTCATCAATCAGCCCCAGCTAACCAAATTCTGCAATAATCATGTCAGGTATTAACTAGTGTTTTTGTTAATATATATTTAGTTTCAGAACATTGCATGTTGCATAGCAAAAATGAAGTAAAGATTCTGTTTATTCCACTTCTGCTATTTCCTCTGACCACTAGTCACAGCCTCAGACTCTAGAGGGGGGGCATGAAGTGAAATCAGGAGAGCAGCAGAGCTGTTTCAGTTACAAACTTGACCTTCTGAATTTTTAAGAACGGGGTGGTGGGGAAGGTATATATGCTTTACAGCTGCATCATCAGCATGTCCCTACAGTATGGATTTGTTCTTTGGCTTTCAGTTCAGCTGAACTTCAGTTCATCTTTGAACAGATTTCTGGTAGCTGGATGCCAATGCAGATGTACTTCTCTTGCAGATGACATTGTTTGTACTTTGTAAGCTCTTGTCTTTTTTAGTCAGCCAGCTACAAAGATTCTGTGGTTCCTTATGAAACTAGTTTTGAATTTCAAGTTCAGGCTTTAGGACTCTGCTGATGGTTTATGTTGTTTTTTGTTTGTTTTTGTTGAATCTTCAGTAATACATAATGCTCACAAGTAATGTGTGTTTAGATCTGATAATATCCTCAGTTCTGTTGTTAAAATTCCAGGTAAGTGAATGGCAAAGATATCCCTGTCCAGACATGTGTTTTCTGAACGTACCTTTGATAATAAGCAGAAATGTTATAGACATTGAGAATAATGTGGGGTTTTTCCATGGACTTGAGAAATTTCATAATGCTTTTTGTTTGTGTACACAACTTGTCTTTTCTATCCTTTGCTTTGTTTTGTTTCTTGACAGTGTTGAGCTTTTTTGCAGGATACATTTATTTCCCCCTTTAAATTGGCTTTTATGCAAAGTCAAAGTAAATATTTCTAACTTCAAAAAGGGTTAAAATATTCTTACAAATCTTTTGCTTGTAAGTTTTTGAGGTGATTATTTTCACTGTTACTGTTTTAGGACCTCACATGGTAGCAGTCTGTTCTTAAAAAAAAATGTAAAGCTGACAAAGAGCTGGGAGCTCAAACGTTTTGTGACGATTGCTTAGCAGAGATGATTATGCTGGGATAAGATGTATTCTGTTCTTCCAGCCTAGCAAAACTAATATCCAGTATGAATCTGTTTAAAATAAAAAAGTGAACTTTTCATTCAGTGAAGGGTATAGAGTTTTATATCTTTTAATAGATACTTATTATTTCAATTATTTCTTAAATGCACCGTGTCAATTCAGTTGCTCCTGTTGTTAGGTTTTTTGCACTGACTTGTGCAAACTCACGCTCAATGCAGAAGCTCCACAGCCCCTCAGTGCTGACTTAATACCCTCCTCATTATGCTCCTTACACCTCTTTCCCCAAGAATTTTGTCTGACCGGAGCTGCTGTGCAGTTACCTGCCCGGCATGCGCCATAGCCTGCGGGGTGGGGCACTCCTGTGGGCCCTGGAGCTGCAGGCCTGGGGCCTGCCCTGCCTGCTCCCTTGGCTTGGTGCAACTGCTTGCCTGCTACCTTCACTTCATTTTTCCCCTCGTTGCCTGAACTGAGCAGCAGCAGAGCTTGACTGCTTCCCACAGAGCAGGCAGAGGTGACGAGGGAACTTCCTGCCTCAACGTGGAGGCTCACGACGGTCTCTGTGGGTGGCGGGCGCTTCCCTGGGTTAGCCAGTTTATGCACGCCTGCAGGACTGTCTCTGTGGAAGTCATTCAGTTTCTCTTTTAGCCAAAATGAATCTGTTTGCTAGCACAGAAATCACGAAAGGTTCTGTTCTATTTGAAAGCTTGTGTAACTGAGAGGGAAGGAATACATTTGAAGAATTTTTTTGTACTATAATAATAGCATGTGTTTTTGTCTTTCTCTCTCTCAGCACTGCGAAGTACAACATAATCACATTCCTGCCAAGGTTCCTTTATTCCCAGTTCAGAAGAGCTGCTAATGCATTTTTTCTTTTTATTGCGTTACTTCAGGTAGGATCAACAATAAGATGCTAATATTTGAGACTTACTGAGAGCATTTATACCATTGACAGTGTTTTGCAGAGATACTGGGGTTGGTGTACTGTTCTTTTTGAGCTAGTTAGCTTCTCAGAATAGCTGTATTATGTAGATGTATCTTCAGTAAACGTTTGGGTTTGTGGGGTTTTTTAACTCCTTTGAGATAACACAATGCACACCAAGATTTTTCTGTAAAACAAGTTAAGTATAGCTGAAATACTGTCAGGTGAAAAAGACTGTTGTGACAGGAAAATCCTGTTTAAAAATATCTCTCATGCACAGAGCAATGTTACCTGTAGTTGGCATTTCTCAAAATGGAGGGTACTGCCTAAAAACCTGAACTTTATGAACTTTAGTCCTGTAGCCTGTTTTGAGTGGCAGGAATTGCAGCTAAGGAGAAGTGATTATGTATTCTTAGAGTGAAGCTGATAAGTTCTGAAGTTTAGCCTAGATGAAGAAAACCGGAGTGGAGTCCAGTACTATACCAGCTATTTCTTATATCCCAAGTGGTTAACTATGCTAGTTAGGAAGAAAGCACAGTCTTTTCTATGCCACCACTGTAGCTTCATTAAGTACGTTTGTAAAGGGCTATCCCTGACCCAGCTTGCTGAGATTCTTTTGAAGAAGTACATAACTTTTTGCAGATATATCAGAATATTTTAATTTTGCAGTAGTTCAAGTTGATAAAGCAGAATGTGGTTTTTTTGTATGCTATTCTATGAATGCAGTAGCTGATGATGAATGAAAACTGAACAGTGGGCAGGTGCAGTGATAATTACCATTGGCTAGTTCTGTATTGCAATCACATTTGATAAAAACGCATTTTCTGCCCAATTTCTAGTGCATGTTTTAGAATGTGTTGATTTGTCTGTTGTGGGAGGTCATTGTGTTAGGAATTGACATGAGAAACAAAAAGTACTAAAATAATAGCACATAACTGCCATGTGTACTTTTTCCTCCCTCACCTCAGATGTTCCAGGAAGTGAAAGTTGATTCCCCTGTAATTAGGTTTCTTTGTTTCTACTATACGTGCTTGGAGCAGTTTCTTAAGATACATCTGCACATGCAGCTTCCTCTGTTTCCTGAGGGGGTGCACAAATCTGAAGTTCAGGGTTTCGTTAGATTGTCTGCCCGCAAACCTGTGGCTTCTAAATAAATATCCTTTTCACCCAGTCTGGCACCTGAGGCTAATCCAGTGGTCCAGCAGCATTTCTTGTGGTGCCACTGTGCACATCAAGCTAGCAACACAGAATATGAGGTTTCAGAAGCTGTTTGAGGCTTGGCATGACTGGGTGAGAGACTGGCAGGTGGGTGTTTGGGGTAGAGGAAGTGGAATGTAAGGAAGTGGAATGTTAGGACTTACAAGCCCACCGTCTCCTATCAGGCTATCAGTGAGACTGCAGTGGCAGGAGTAAGAAATATGGGGTAATGGAACCAGGTGCCCCTTCTGCTTTCATATTTTGCCTGGAAAATAATGCGTAGTTGGAATGGGGGAGTTTGGGCATACACATAGGGAGGAATGAAAGGGTAGGAGTAGCTGGAGAAGTGACAGATCCCTTTCCCTTGTAGTCAACACATAGGCACTTGCCCAACAGTAACTTTCTGCCTGGCTTCCATTTAATCGCTTGAAAACTGTGGTCTAGAGTAACCTGGAAAGTAGATCTGTATTGGTCTTACTCCAAGAAACATAGCATTCATACATATAACATCCTGTTTTCTTTCAGAAGCACAATGTGGTGGTAGCAAAAGAAATTTATGTAATTTGTAAATAACATTGGCTGTTTTTCAGAAAATGTTATGATAAATTGAGGATGTCTTCTAACCACATTAAGGCACTGATTACTAGTGTACTCTTTTCTTGCAATGACCTCACTGTAGTCATATGGGCTGCATTGCCTATTATGTCTGTTAAGGCTTATCAATGTTGCCATTAAGAACTCTAGTCAATATAAAGGTAATTATGGAGAACCATCCATGTATATCACATAAGTAGCTGTCTTCTCAGCATTTACTTTACATACACGTTTGCTTGCATCATCTGTGCCAATGCCTGCGTAGCAAAAACGGGTTTCTTACAATAGTCTGGCAGAAAGCAGCTGTTTGAAATTTTTCAGTTAATAACTAGTATGATACAAAGTATCTCTTAAGAGATTAAAACTGTAAGGAAGTAAAAATACCTGGGGCTTGTGTCTACTCTAACAAAAACTAAACTGAAAAAAATTATTTGTATTTTATAAATAAGCATTTTTTATTTCATTTGAAACACAGAAAAGGAAGGTAAATATTCCGCAGACACTAAAACTTCTGACTGTAACTCCACTGAATACTATACTATTTAAAATGCAAATGTTGTTTTATTGTATCAGCTGCTTTTGAGTTGAAGACAATAACCTTCTCTTGGAAATAATCAGCACCATGTCTAAAATGTGAATCCAGTTGCCTTGCCTGTATTTGCACAGAAAGTACTGCTTCTTGTATTAAAAATATGTTTTCAACCAGCAATGCAAACAAATTTTTTCTCTTTTTTTTTTTTTAATAGCAAATACCAGATGTATCACCAACAGGCCGTTACACAACATTGGTCCCTCTCTTATTTATTTTAGCTGTAGCTGCAGTGAAGGAGATAATAGAGGATATTGTAAGTATTTAATAGCAATATTTTATAAATAGTGTTCACATTTTTCATGGATTATACTATAAAAATTTTGTTGAATAATTCTGTGTTGAACCATTCATGCCTTCTGGATGCTTCTGAAAGCTTCTAAAGCTACTTACTTCAGAAGATAAAATCTTTAGAATAGGGTGTTCTGGTTTGAAAGCATGTTTACTATATGTACAAATGACAATAACATGGTAAACCAGTGACTGTTAAGTTTACTACATAGGTTGTTTCTAGGGTAACTTCTCATTAATGAAGTACAAGCATATTTTTAAAGTGTGAACTGGAACCAAAGACTCCACAGAACCTAGTCAAGTCAGGAACATTGCCAATTTCCTCAAGCAAGGGCTCTGCTAAAAGATTGGAAAATACTGAATTCATCTCAGATGGAATCTGTTTTAAAACCAATTAACCTTAAAAGAGTTACTTGGTTAGAAAAATTAATTTTTTTTTTTTAGTTCCTGCATGAGCAGTGTCCTTTTCTCCCACTAATTATACTTGTGAGGGGGATTTAAGCTCAGTCTGTGAATGAGTTACTAGACTAACATTTTATAGAAAGATTGTGAAAACTTCTGGCTTTAGCAAGTCCATGAAGATAGGTTTAAAAAAAAAATCTTCCCAGGATTCTTTTTATTTTTACATCTTTATTTGAGGTGCCTTTAAAAAAAAAATAGATAAGCCCTCAGGAACTCAGAGTTGAGAATCTGGGAGGCTACATAGTCTCAAGCATCTTCACTTGTCCTCCATACCTGAAACTAGATGGATTTTTGTTTCGTGACCAAAATAATCCCTGGACCTTCCTAAAAAAGTGTCTTTTAACTTGCTACTGGAATTATAATGTGACACTTCTAGTATGTTTAGAATAGTAATCTGTTTGTTTTAATACATTTTAGATGAATGGGTATAGGTCACTAATGTGCCATTTTTTAAGTTCTAAAAATGGATTTTCTCCAGTTGTCAAATCCAGGTCCATGCATCTGATGCATCTGTTTTATTTCTAGTGTCTCATGCATAAAATCCTTGATTTCATTGTTGTGACTTTACATGGTTTTGTAGACAATAAGGGGAATAGGCCTTTTTTAGTTTTTCCCGTTGCTCCAGCCCAGTGCAATTTACTGTTTAGTCTTTCATGTCTTGTTGCTAAGTGTGATCTGCTGATGCCTGATGGCGAGGAACACACATGGAATGCTTGTCCTTGTTAGGCAGGTGCCCCCAGCTATGTCAAGCTTTCCTTGTCTCTCTTCAGTGTTTGTGCTAGTGGTTGTTTTGCTTTCTTCTTGCATTGAATGAAAACTTTAAAAGAGCTGGGATATTGTCATGGTGGAAATGTCTATTCTGACTTCTTCTATTTTGTGGGTAGGGGAAG